TGAAAGGGGGGTGAAAAACATTTGATCTTTGGTCATTTAGATAGAATTAGTGAGTATTGCATGTTATTCTAAGATTGTTCTGTAGATGTATCCCCACTTTTTTTTTTGCATTTTCTAATTTTATTACTATTATCTCCCCATTCAAGTCTACTTGCTGCAATTGTACTTTTGCTGTAATTTCACTTTTTATTCATTTAAAAATATTTGTCCACAGATAGCTACATTTATTGTATTTGCAATCTTATTTGGTCATTTCATGACTGAAGAATCTGTTAAAGAGTTTCTTTTGCATACCTATCATAAAATAATTGCTGGAAAACTGTTGTGACAAGAGTAAATTAATTTTCCACTCAATCTTTAGTCGATAGGAGTTATCACAAGTTATGCAAAGTTAAAACTTAATAGTTATTAAGGCACTGACAGATTCAAACTACTTGTTAACATTTAGTGAGGTTGTCCTGATCACCAGTCATACAAATATTAGGGATTTACAGTGCCATGACCTGCATGGATAAGTATACCTGTAAGCATTTCTGGTGGGCAACCCTGAAGCAACACTAGGCTCTAATCTGCACCACTTTCCAGTCGGTTATTTGTTGTCTTAGATGATCTGCAGCAACATTTATTCTTGACCTTCTCCATATTAAAATATAATGATGAAGAGGACAAAAACAAATAAATAAAATAGAATAAATTTTGAAATGAGTAGATAGTCTTGCAAACACTCCACTTTGGTCTTTTGAACAGTAGAAATTTGTCCCTTGTTTCCTGTTTAGAAGGAACCGGAAACCCAATCCTAATGTCTTATTATTTTACTCACAGTAGACTATTGTATTTTAGTGGTATTATTGCCTTGCTTGGGGTGATAAAAAAAAAAAAAAAAAAAAAAAAATTTTAATTAACATTCTATAGTAGGGAATTAATTCCTCCATAATGGTGAGTGACAGACAGACAGACAGAGAGAGAAAAAAAAAAAATAAAGATTCATCTTAGGAAAATTAATTGATAGAAAGAGAATCAGAGGAAAGGAAAGGATCATTTTTTTTTTTCATATAATTTCACCCCAAGCAAGGCAAAGCTATTAAGAGACAAGGGTGTTATTGAGTGTGAAATAATATGAGGGGAAAAAAAAAAAAACAAAAAAAACATTAAGAATAGGGATTAAGATCAAATTACAAGATTTTTGATCTAGGAAAAATAAAATAATAGAATCTGAACAATGTTTGATATAGTGGCTGATACTGTCTCTCTATGTGTGTGTGTGTGTTTCGATCCTAGCTAGAGGCAACCGGACGTCTAGCCACACTGATGAGCCATGATACAGTGAAACTCTGTGGATGACAATATATATGCTCCTGAAAAAATTTATTTTGGTTGACCTCTCTGGGGAGGAAGTGTGGGTTTGTAAACAGTGACTATTACGGCTAATAATGCAAGACTCTTCGTTAAATCGATTTGAGTTCTCTCAGTCACCGTGTTTATCTAAAAATAAATACGCTTAAATTCACCTTCATCCCTGCCGTGCACCAATGGATTAGTGGTAGAATCTCCAACTGATTCCAATTCAGTCGGGTTTCGATCCTAGCTAGAGGCAACCCGATGTCAAGCCACACTGATAAGCTGTGATACAGTGAAACAGACTGTCTGTGGATGACAATATATATATATATATATATATATATATGCACAGATGTCTATGTATGAGAAAGTACTTTCAATCTGTCTTCAAAGTTTGCTAAATATATAAAAAAACTGAAAATATTCAAAATCTTCATAGTAAAGATTGCTAACAGATGTGGCAACAACAAGAAAAAAATTGAACCCAGTGTTGAAATCTATTTTTAATGAATTCACTTACAGCATCCTTCTAAAATTTATATTTTGATAATAATAAACTAGAGAATAAATCTAAAAGCATAAATCAACTGACATTTTTCCCCCCAATACAATCTTCACAATATTAAGATTACAAACCTACCTATAAAATAAAAAAAATAAAAAAGTAAAAAAATTCTACTTTTAGTGAGCTAAAATCTCTGTGCAGCAATAATTAAAATTAAGTTACTATTAGTACTAGCTACCAAAACTTTCAAATGATTGATTTTTTTTTTTTTTTTTTTTTTTTAAATCAACTTATCAACCCTTTGTGGGTTATTGAAAATTGAAGCATTTCTGGATTGTAGAAATACTTTTTTTTAGCAAGTGAATATTACATTAAACAATTCTTTGAGAATAACGATTTTTCCAGATAAAAGTTCTATTTAACAATGGGGGGGTTAGAGGAATGGGATCATACTTTTACCCCAAATTAAGTGAATGTAACAAACCTGACTGGAATCAACTGCAATTGAAAATCTGCTGTAAGGTTATTTCTTTTTTTTTTTTTTTTTTTAAATATAGGAAGGCAACTCAAACATCCCTCCCACATCATTTCAACAATACTTACAAACGTACTATTTTAACAACTTCCCAGCATTTCCCCCAAAATGTTAAATTTATAAAATTTGAAAAAAATTCCACCACCAATTCAATTATTCATATACAAAATTAATGAAAAATAAACCAACATCAAAATGTAAAAATTTTGAAATGTACACATCCATTACCATTAAAAAATTCTAGTCAGAATATACCTAAACATTTTCCAGTGGACTGTGATAGTTAACTTACTTATTATAAAACGCAGATTGTGTGTGTACGTTTATATATTGGATCGGATTCCCTACATTTTTCAACCGATTTCAACAAAACTTCACAGGACTACGTAAAATTACCTTGCGGTGGTTCTAACAGAGCCAAAAATTGGAAAAATACAATTGTTTTTGCATGAAATCAATTTGAAAACACGAGTAAGAGGCATTAATGAAAAGGGGACAACTCATATAGAGTTATACTTATTATAAAACTCAGGTTGGTTGTGTGTGTGTGCGTTCGTTTATATATGGGATTGGATTTCCTACATTTTTCAACCGATTTCAACAAAACTTGACTTGCACACTTTTTTCTTTATTTTACATTCAGAATGCTCTAAAAATTCCATTTACAAGACAATTGTTTATAATAAAATTCTATTCAATCAGTAGACTCATAATGATTGAAAACAATGTTTTTGTCTGAGTTTGACCAATTCATAAAAAAAAAAACTAATTAAGACATGCGTGTCCGTCAACCTTAAACAATCTTCAATCAATTTTATTTTCAGTCTTTATAATGGTTTATACTCGATCTATCTCTTACTGTTACATCCCTGGGCAATGCCGGCTCTACTGCTAGTGTATATATATATATATATATATATATATATATATATATATATATATATATATATATACATCATGTCTGTCTGTCTGTGTGTGTGTGTGTTGTGGGCGTTGTTACCTACGCCCCAGGCAGCATTCTCACCCGATTTGATCGCGGCTTTCAACACAAGCTTGCAAATGGCTGCCGTAAGGACATGATGGAGCCCGATTTTGAGTTAGAAATCAGGTTCGAAAAAATCGATAATCGAAAAAAAATCGATAATCAAAAAATTCTGCTTAGGAAGGAATAATCGCATTTCAACCAAATGTGACACCCTCTTAGAGTCTACCATTAGAAGTGTTGTCCAGAAGTTTCATGACCACGGGCCGCTAAACAGCGCAGAAAATCGATAAAACCCAAAAACCAATACGCCCAGATTGCGTCTGAACCGCATGTTGGTTTTTAGCGAAAACCGAGCGGATTTATGAAGAGGCCATTGAGAGTCATCATGTGAAGTTTCAACTCTGAGCACCCGCCAAACAGAGTGCAAATCGACAATCAGTCAACCCGTAAAAATGTTTTTTCCGTTTTTTTTAAAGCTGAAAGTATTGTTTATTTTGTTTAGTTCTTTTTTCGTAACATATTTAATGTTTACTATAGAGCTTAGAAAATGTTGGCAGTGTGATATAGGCAAGAAGTAAAGCATGTAACAACATCAGCACGGCAAAGGGCACTCCTCTAAAGGCAAGGAAGGGCAAAAATATTTTAAGTCAAGTGATAGCAATTGCTGTATTAGTCATTACTATTTTTGAATCAATCACGAACAACGCTGCTAGTTATATATATATATATATATATATATATATATATATATATTCAATAGCAATTATATATATATTCGGATGGCAATAGAAACATTAATTTTTATTATATTTTATATATATATATATATATATATATATGGCAAAGGAATAGCAAAGTTTTGTTGCAAGCAAGTGTAATAAGCTGATCTTTTTCAAATTTTTCAGAAAAATAAAATAAAATAAGGGGAGGTGACTGGCAAAGAGACAGGAGCTTATATCCACTTAAATAATGATCTAATTCAAAATGGAGGTAGGGGTGAATGTTGTACAAATGCAATCCACGTAGATTCAAGGTAAAAATTGATTCAAATATGAAAAAATATCGGCAGAACAAAAACTACAAGAAAAAGAAAAAAAATTGAAAGAATATTCCAAGACAATGAAATTGGATTGAAAAAGAGAATCCTTTATTAAAATAACCTACGAATTAATTGCAGGAAATTTATCCACAGTATTCAAGAATCTTTTTCTTTGTTGTAATGATGAAAATAAGAGATTCTGGATAGTGATTTGTCTTTCCACTCAATACAGAGAAGCATTGTTGTTTATTGCAAAATCTGCAAAGTAATATAGTTCTCTAAAAATAGGGATGGAGAAATAATAAGAAAAGATCCACATTGTGGAAGCTAAGTTTTCATAACTTAACACAGAAAAAATATGAAAATTTGTTTAAATCATTCTTATTTTTTAACCCTGAAGTCCCATATATAACCCAAGTATCTGTGAGGGTTTCTGGGTGCTTTTTTGTTTGTTTTTTTTTTTTTTTCTTTGAATTTAAAATTTTATTTACTTCATTTTTTTTTTTTTTTCCTTCATTTCACATATAAGTAAATATTTCAATAACAGGTTTGAATGAATTAAATCAAACCTCTTTATATATATTTAGTTTTGGCATCTTTAAGAGTTTTTGAAGAGAGAGAGTGAGAAAGAAAAAAAGAGAGAGAGAAAGAAAAATAGATGAGGAAAGGGTTGAGAACTAGCACATTTGAGATATTCTACAACAGGAAAATGTGTTATGATCTCCACAGCCACTCACACATACACACACAGAGACAAGCAAACAGACATACAGACACTAAACAAAATGAAGTCCAATAGATGATCAAGTGACTTTCGTGGACAATTGCCAGATGTACATTGGAGTGTATTTCATTTAAAACAATTGTCAGAGAGAGAGAGAGAGAGAGAGATAGAGAGAGAGTTAGAGAGAGAAAAAGAGTGAGTGAGGAGCACATGTGAAAAAAACATCCAGAGTTTCTGATGCTAAAAATGTCCCCAGAACTAGAATAGGGCTTCTTTTTTTCTTTTTTCTTTCTTTCCTTTAAGAGGGCATCATTTTAACTCAAACAGTTATCCTCTGGATCTTCAGTATAATCCAGACCCTTTACTGCTGACACTCAAGTCATATCGTTTTCGCTTGGCATAGGAGTCTGCGTAGTGACCACCGATCCCTTGGGAGTGCTGCCCAATATAGCCACCCTCAGGACTGGCTTCCGGGGGAGGAAGTAGTTGACTGTAGCTGCGTTTCTGACCAATAGGAGATGTCTGCAAAAGTAAAAGCAAACCTGAGTGAAACTGAAGAGAAAAAGAGAGAAAAAAAAAAAAAACAAAGAAAAAAAATGAAAATTACTTACCATGGAGGAGCTGGAATTGTAACTAGAAGAGCCAGAGTTTCCATAGTAACTTGAGTAAGATGATGATGATGATGATCCAAAGTTATTAGAAGAACCAAGAGAGCTGCCTATACTACCAAATGATGAACTGCCATAGTTGGAATTGTAATTGGATTGGTAATTAGAATAGCTAGACTAAAAAGAAAAGAGAAAATTTATTAGAGGGCAAGACTCAAGTAAAGCATTTCCAATTTGTCTGATAAAAACACCATAATAAAAAAAACAACTTTCAATAATTTTATCAGAACTTACTATTTAAAAAAAAAAAAAAAAAAAGCTCTAACTACAAAAAATAAAAATGCCTGACAAGTATTTTCATAACTTTCCTTTTTACCTCCACCTATGAAAGTTAAAAGTCAATGTTAAGAATACAGCACTGATTTCAGGAAAAAAGAAAATTCACAAGTTTAAGTATTATTCATTAAATTAATATTTTAAGTTTATTGTTCGTATCACCCAATATAATAATTTGAGCAGCTTGCCCCATTAAACAGCCTGTGACAACCAACAGAGAAAAAAATATAAATGAGACACAATGAACATGTGCGGTGACAGTAGTGATGCAGCCAAAAGTTATGAAAATAAGTAACACTATTTCAAAAGCTTTAACAAGCATTTAATTCATTCATGCTTATTAGCTTCATTTTCAGGCTGGTACATATTAATGGCTCACAGGTAGAAGCCTATAGTACCAGATTTTACTGTGAACTTTAATGGGTCAATGTAATTGTGTGATAAGGACTCTAAAAGTTCTCCCAATTTTAAGCAATAATTTCAGTTGGAGGGGGGGGGACTTACATCATTTGCTGTTGATGATCCTTTTCCATAATTTCCATAATTAGAAGACCCACTGTTGTAGTTGCTGGTGTAGCTGCTGCTGTAGCTACTTTCATACTGACCAGTTCCGCTTCCTCCTCCCCCAGAGCCACTACTGCTGTTGCCATAATAGTTATCATTGTATCCTCCCTGTAATCAAATAAATCAATTGTAAATCAGAGACATGAATTACCTCCCTTAACAAGTATGGGAAGAGTGGGGAAGAAGAAAAAGCGTTGGTAGGATTTCCAATCACTGTCTCATTTTTTTTTTTTTGCTAGTTACACCAAGATTGTGTATATATTATATGATCACGTCAGAGAATCAAAAAAAATAAAAATAAAAATGCTTTAGCATCAGATGATTAATTCAAAAACTTACTGGATTTAAAAAAAAAAAAAAAAAAAAAAAAAGAAAAAGAAAAGACACTGTTACCTAAGTGGAGGGGGGGGGTACCTATAGCAGTGTCTCGCAGCCTTTTCACCCTGGCAGAACCCTTGAAATAGTTTTCATGTCTCAGGGAACCCCCTGCATAAAAATTATTATATATCATTAATAATATCTTTTATATTTTTATCATCATTCGCATGGTAAACATATTCCCTATGATTATTATAATTTTAATAAGAGGTTGAAGCCTTTAATTACAATAATCAAGGAATTTTCAACAATATACCGTACATGTATAGTAAGATTATGCATATAAAATAAAACAAAAAATACTCGAAAATGCATTAGCCTACTAATCACCATTTCTTGCAGAAATGTAGGGTTCCAGGGAACACCGGTTGAAAAACCCTGAACTACAGTATTGTCGCATTCAACATTAAGAAAAAAATACTAAAACATTTGTAATGCTTGAATAAAAACAATGCTACTGCCAACTGAAAATTATACAGCTTTAAATAACAAATTTATCTATTGAACTTTATGCTCAGGTGTCAAATATAAAACTGTTTGGTTTGGATGAGAATCCAGCAAGGCTAAATAGAATAAATGCTAGATTTTGAACACAAGGTACTTATTAAAAATATTACAAAAGGTTGTGTATTTTTGATAAACTTCTTGTCTAATCTCTTAGATCAAAATAAGCAGCCCCCTTCATTGTTCAAATATATTCATTTAGTCACCCTAGGGGCACTTATAAATTATTTGGGGCGAGGGAATGTTTATTGAAGCATTTATGGTAAGACCATTTGTAAACTTTCAAACTGAGCTATATATTAGTGGTGGGGACTGAAATTTCTCATCCCAAACAACCAGGGTTTATGTCAAATTAATTCAACTAGTAACTTTTCTCAGACACTTATATTGAGCACTGTCAACAAGTGGACATTGAAATCAACACCCAGTGGTGACAGTGTGTTTCATGGTTAAATGCAATCTTCAGGCTATAGGCTATAGTCAGACTAAAACAACACATGATTGTTTAAGCTTGAAACAGACTGCCACTACTGAATATGAAATCTCAATGAGCATTCTTAAATTTAAAATTTGGACATGATTTTTTTTTTTTTAATACTATTTGCTTGTTTATAAATACAAGTTGAAAAATAAAATCCTTAGATTTACATTGATAAAGTGTCTAAAAGTTTTATATATATATATATATATATATATAAAAAAAAAAGAGAGAGAGAGAGAACTTTTTTTTTTGTTATATTTTAGAAATTTCCTAACAATATTTTTACTTTTTATGAATGCAAGTTAGAAAATACCTTCATAAAGTCCATCAGAGGATGAAATTCATTGGTAAAGAAAATTTTTCCTTTCATTTTTTTTTTTTTTTGTCATTAGGATGATTATTTAGGGACCTTGTGGCATACTATGTGCATCTTTTCTCTGCATTTGCCTCTTCCAAGTGTGATCAGTTTTGCGCAAACCTTCACCACTAATAAAATCACATGCAAGTAGCTTGATTGTTCAGTTTTAAGAACCAAGTTGCTGTACTCTCAATCTCAGACATTACAGAGAGGAGAGTCACATACACAAAAAAAAAAAAAAAAAAAAAAAAAACACTTTTTTCAATAACACATTCCATCCTCTGATAGGCTTTGAGGGAAATATAAGGATTTTATTTTGCAACATTTATAAACAGAAGTGAAAATATTGTTGGGTTTTCAAATATTTTGAATTTAAATACTCAAAAATATTCTCAAGACTGTAAAGGTCAAGGTAAACTATGTAAGATGCTCAGTAATGTAATTTAATGCCTAATAAATGGAAGTGATTAGATGGTATTATTGTTAAATGGGATTATATATATATGTGTGTGTGAGATTGATGCCTCGCATCAATCTAAATATGTTAGCTCTATCACTGATATTGATCACTTTCCAATAAGTACTACACACACATATATATATATATATATATATGTGTGTGTGTGTGTGTTTTTGTGTGTGTGTGTGTGTATATTTTTAAAGACCTATATTTACAGCCCCAAAGTTTTTCCTTTTTTTTTTTTAATACAATGAAATGTCAATTTTTATTTTTAAGTTTAAAAGACAAATGTATATCATTTTTATTATTTAAAAAAAATTAAAATAATCACTATGCAAATAAATGGTCAACTGTTGACATTTCCTCCTAGAATCCAAAATGGTTAAAATTGCAAATTTATTGATTCCCTACAACATGCTCATTCATGTTTTTTTAATTTTTTATACCAATTAATTTTAAGTTATAAAAACAATTTTCTTTTTTTTTTCTCTTGGTAAAAAGTATATTTATTATATATTAGTTAATACATACAGAATAGCTGCCAGAAATGTCTCCTTTGTTACTGTTAAAACTGTAGTCACCAGATGAAAGGTTTTTGGAAGAGGCATAATAAGTGCCACCAGCACCACTACCTCCACGCCCATCTTGGTCAGAATAGTTAGATTGGTACGATGACTGCAATAGAAAAAAGCAGACATTGCAATCTGAATGGCAGGGACGATTGCAGACCAGTTATAGCCAACAACTGGTGTATTAGATATTCCCTTGATTCCTAGTTAGATATTAACACTGCAATTATAAGTAATCTAAGATAAGTTACCAGATAAGTAAAACAACACCTGGTAAGAATTAAAAGAAATTTTATTTTAATTTAAAAAAAAAAAAAAAAAAAAAAAAAAAAAAAGCAAGTATTTAGTGGATTCTATTTGTTTTAGAAAGTAAGTGATAAAAACTGACTAATATATATATATATATATATATACGGTAGTCATTTTAACAAGATTATCATTATAAAATTTTAGTTTCCTTTTTAATTACATAATCTATTTAGAGATATTCTACCTTCAGCACAACTTTCATTCTATTTCTGTAAGAAAATCTGCAATAAATATCCCAATAAGCGTCTTAATTGAAGAATGCTTCTGCAAATATTGAACCTGAACATTCTACAGATTACAGCAGAAATGCCTATTTTGGCAAATTCTAAGATATTTCATTCAATTTAAAATGGAGAATTGTGTGCTACCTCTAAACAGAGTAGATTTCTCATTAAGAATGAAAGCAAAGCAATGTACTAAACAAAATTGACAAGGCAAAGAGAAAGAAAAATTGTCAAGTTTGGGCTATAGAGAGAGAAAGAAAGAGAGAGAGGGGTGGGAGACTAATTTGGGTTCTGCTTTGTACAGGAACAAATGTAGCATATTAAAAGAAAAAGAAAATTCAGATCTAACATGCTGGCATCTGCTATAAATAAAAGCCCATGATAATCTTTTGCTGATCTTCAATACCAAAAGAGGTTTATAGTTTAATACTCAAATCCTAACGAGACTATAATTATAATGGTAATAAAAATTTTTTAAAAAGATGGTGAGCTGTATCCAACTTGTTGACAACTCACCTGATTGTCATAGTAGTTGTAGCTGTCATAATACTGGTCACTGTTTGAGTTGCCGTACTGCTGGTTGTAGGAATCGCTGGAGTATTCACTGTAGCCACTAGTGCCCCCACTGGCCAGACCAGTTCCAACAGAGCCCCCACCACCAGAACCACTGCTGCCGCCACCCAGAAGACCACTGCCAGAACTTGTGCCACCACTGCTGCTAGACTGAAGAAAGAAGATAAGTTGTTGGTCAAGAGACGTGTATCTGAATACAGACTACTCCTTCCTTTATGGCTACTTGCGATTTTTTAACTAAAGATTTGAAAACAGCCCAAATTCCGAGTGCATGCATAACCCCTGAATTTAAATGAAGAGAAAGCAACCGATTACCTGCCTTTGCTAATTGTTTCTAATTAGCAATGAAATAAATTTATTCATTTTTTTTTTTAAATAAGATATTAGGTAATGAATACAAATATAAAATTCTTAAACTATCTAGCTGCTCACATGGCTTTCTTGGCGCTGTTCATTCTGATGTCGTCTTCAGGGTGAGGCAGAACATGGATACAAGTGACAGGAAGAAGACATTTCAAGAGAAACAGATGAGTGTGCAATATACATTGAAGAAATTGGAATATTACCTTTATATAAGCATCCAGTTAACCACATTCCCACCATCCCAGCCGCTGAATATCAGCTTTTGAAAGCAGCAAAAAAGAAAACAGTACATATCCATACTTCAAAATAAAATCTGTGCTATCCAATCTCTTGCTTTGCTAATTAGTAATTTTCACCCCCCACCTGACCAGTTCCATACATTTAAGTAGAATAAAAGTCATTCAGACAGATTAATTGGCAACCGACCAGTAATATTGAATGCTTAAAGCAACTGCCTCAATGGATAGCCAACTTTTGCTGCTTTACCAGTAACTTTATTAGTAAAACATTTTCAATAAAGGAATTTGATGAGTATTTTAAAGAAGTTCTGAATGGAGTCATCCAGTCAAGTTACAATTGTAAAGTAAAAATAAGTGTACAGGCGAGTGTGGCTAAACAAGAAACTCATTTGGCAGTGATACCAGCAAAGATTTGACATGGCCTGGCCACTCGTTAGGATGCACAGTGCAGACAACAATGACAAAAGATGCAGACAAACGGATGATTAGTACAGTGTGTCAAACATGACAGAAAAAAAAGTGTGTTTGATCAAATCACTCGGATATGTTTGTAACATTCTCTACTCAAAGCTTTCAGATTAGGACAAAAGGTATTATGAGGAGGAGAAAAATAAGTCAAAGTTCCATCAGAATATTTTATTACAAAATAAAATTTACAAATTTATATAAATTTGCAATCAACAGAAAAAAAAAAAAAAAATTAGTATTTCCATATTAATCAACAAAAACAAATAGCCAAGATCAGTTTGAGTAGCATTTTCTTTAAAAATCAATTTGATATTAACTGAACATTACATGTTTTTTTTTTCTTTCTTTTTTTCTATATAAGAGATTGGCTGGTATGTTCATTTTCTATAAACATTGTTATTGTACACAACAGAATAGATTGTACACTCAAGATAATCTGATAGGCGAGTCATTTCAATCACAGATTTTCAAGTTTTAAAACCTTGTATCTTCTGTTTTTATTGTATGTATGCTTAAGGAGTAAATACAAAATTTTGGCAAGTTAAATTTTTTGTAAAATCCCTATCTGAATAAAAGAAGTCAAAGGCACTTGTTAGAAAAATGATAATTTAGTTTTTGTTGAAAAAAGGAACTAATTCTGATATCAATACTTCAAATTTGTCCAAGAAAATGTAGTCAGAACTGCAAATCCTTGTCACCTTTGCTACATATGTACAAATATTCAAGATCAGTATTTTCATAATTAAAAAAAGTGTAAAATGCTACAACAAATTATACCCCAAAATTTAAATACAAATCAAGTGGATTTAAAATAAAGGTTTCATAAACAGTGAATAGGTATCTTAACCATGACATCATCAGCTTACTCCTTGAATTTAATAGCTTGTTCTTCATACCTACAAATTATTAGGAGGTAGTTCAGTGGGTGGAATAAGAAAATCAGTCCCTGCCATTCAGGTCAAAAAGTAACCTTACTAGCATACCAATTTTATTGTGGCAAAGTGCCTAAGGGACAGTCCTCATGATGCAAGAAAAATGAGGAAACCAAAGTACAACTTGCAGTTATGAACATTTTGCAAATCTGATTCAAAAGTAAAAAAGAAAAAATTCTCCCACTAGCATTTCATAAAATAGCATTTAGTAATAAAGTAAAAAAAAAAAAAACTATTAATAGCTGAAATTTTACATATATATTCTTTCAGCACATTGATTTTTAATGAATCTGAAGAAACCATTTGAAACAAGAATCTCTATAAATCTTAATCCTTAGCAAAGAAAAAGATCACAAGACAGCTTTGTTTCATTTTTTTTTTTTTTTTAAGGCACTGTAGTTAAACCGTGACTATTTTCTGATCAAGAATTATTTAGCAAATAAGAACCATGTTTATGAAAAGTAAAAACTTTGTATAAAGTTATAGATCAAGAATATAAATTTGTAAAAAAAACTTGAGAAAAGCGAATGCAAGAGTTTTCATCAAAGTAGGAAATGTTTTACTTAAACTGGACAGCCAATAAACAAATTCAAACATTAGGGAAAAAAGTGGGGGAGAGAAAAATTAATACTTTCCAGAAATGAAGAAATTTAAAGCAATACACACAGGGTGTTCATATTAAAAAAAAAAAAAAAAAAAAAAGACTAAAATAAAATATTGCTGGCAATTTCTTCTTCAATAACAGTAAGTGACACATTAAAAGTGAAGTAATCTGAATAATTGAAGTGCTTACACAAAATTAAAATTCATAAGTTTATGATAGATAACTACTAAATTTAGCTTCTTTTGGGGCATGGTTACAAGAGTGCAGTGAAGCTCATTATGATTAGGAGATACAAGGGAAATAAATTGAAGGAAACAATGTTAGAGTTGTTTCCCTTACTATACCTTTCCCCTCCCCAACGATACTGAATTTCAGGACAAAGAAATGGAGACTGACTAACGATGCAAGTTTAAAAACAAAAATATTTTATATATATATATATATATATATATATATATATATATATTTATATATATATATATATATTTCTTTTTTAAACGGAGCATTTGTCGTCAACTTCAATGCAAACAATTTGGTCTCAGAATTACAGATACTAGTTAATTAAATTGAATGCTTACATATCAAATTTGTGAAATCTGCAGATTTGCTTTTATCAATATATTTTCAATGAAGAAAAAAAAAAAAAAAAAAAAACTCCAAAAGTTATCAAACATACATATCTAAAGATAAAAGCTTTCATATAAAATTGTGAAATTTTATAAGATTTTTTTTTTTTCTTTATAATTAATGCATTGACTATCTTTTCTTCCAAGGAGTCATACAAAATTGTTTTTAATGTTTAATTTCTACTACCGATAGAAAATATACATGTTGATTTTTATAAAAAAAAAAAAAAAATATACACGTTATAGTAAATCCAAGACACTAAATTTGGTCAAACCAAAATCTATTTGATAAATACAATGCTGTCTTCAGAATTGTGTCTGTATAAACAAGTGAAACCATGAAGCAGAGAGAATGCTCAAACTAAATACAGTACATTTCTCATACTAACTGCAAAATGTTTATAACAAACACAGAATTTTTCAATAAAGAAGCATTAGAAAGGAGAAGAAATAGTGAATTAAAAGTAGAAAAATATGCAATCCAAAGAAACTTAAATAGCATAAGATTGAAATGTAAAAGTTATTTTTGAAAAAGTGTTCTTGAATTTCCAAGACATGGTAACAGCAGCAATTCTAACTACAGGCAATGTCTTTTTTAAAGCTTTAGATTGTCATGAATTAAGAAAAAAAAAGAAAAAAAAAAAGAAAAGAAAAAAGAAACTAAAAAGCTATTTAGAAATGAAAAATACAACATAAAAAAAGAATTTTCAAGTACAAAAAGATGTGGATGAATAAAAGTGCCAATCATGCTAAAGAGTTGAGTGATTGAGAAAAACAAAACGTTTAACAGTGCAAAACAGGAATACACTTAAAGACCATTTCTCGATTACAAGGACACATCCTAAGAGGACATATTTACCTGATATTTCTGGCTGCTATAGCCCCCAGTATACAACCCACTTCGGCTGTAACTGCTAGACCCACTCAGTGATGATCCAAGAGTGTGCCCACGGCTTGTGGAACTGCTAGTTGAAAGTCTGTCATAAAAACGACTTAAAGACGAACTGGATGTCTGGCTTGACAGTGGTTGGGGCAAAAGGCCACTCCTCTTGTCCTGGCTAAAGAAACTGCTGCTGCTGCTACTGCCACCAGATAACCTCTTGTTTAAAGGATCATTGTAGCCAAAATTGCTGCTGCTACTGCTGCTACTGTTATTGTTGCTGCTGCCTGAAAAGGAGCTAGAAAGACCTGATGACCTGAGAGGTGTTGGTGTCATCGAGGTATTGTTCTGGTTAGACCGAGGAGGGCTTCCAAGTAAGGAGCTGCTTCCAAAACTTGTATTCTTCCTTTTGTTAGAGGTGAGGGTTTGATTGTTGCTTGTATGACTCATTGCAGCACTGCCTCCACCACCAGTACTATTGTTGTTATTACCAGTACTGCTGCCTGTGCTACCACCAGCATTTCCACCACCACCAGATGCTAACTGCTGAGCTGCAGCTAGGACTTGCAGGTTACGCATAAAATTTGCAGCTGCAGCAACATTCTGGTTGAAACCTGAGGCTATGCTATTATTTCCAGGTGTCCCTGGGTTTGGGCTGGGAAGAAGTCCTGGTTTGCCTGCCACATTTGCTCCTATCTGAGGAGGAGTACCCAAGTTGGATCCACTACTGCTAGCACCTGTTCCCCAACTGCCACTACCCCAGAGAGAAGCTTTCTGTTGCTGGCCACCACCACCAGCAACAGCAAGAGGTCCTGTTTGAGGAGGGGTTCCAAGCAGTCCCTTGGTAGCATCTCCAATACCAGCTGCAGCTCCAGGAGTCAAGCCTGGTGCAGCTCCTCCAGCTGCTGTTGGAAGGTTCTGCAAAGAACTGCTAGAGTTCTGCATTGTGCTCATCAATTGTCCAAGTGCCATCAACTGTTGAATATTTAAATTTTGAATTTTCTGGAGATCTGAGAGTGAAGGAGGGTTAAAGGGAAATTTAATTGGTTTGGGCATAGCTGCTGCTGCCGCTGCTGCAGCAGCTGCCGCCATGTTATCTTTCAAACTAGTGAGGAGTGGGTTTACATCTGGCTTGGGGCGGTTTGTCTCTTCACTTGCTTCATTGTTCATTTGAGACATTAGGTTTTGTACAAGGAGATTGGCCTGAGCAGTCATTGGGTCTCCAAGTAAAGATGGTTTCTGGCCTTTGAGAGCAGCTTGAAAGTTTGACTGGAAAGAGAGAGAAAGAAGGGGGAAATAAGAATGACAATTGTTTTTTTGGGTTTTTTTTTTAAACTCAGAGACCACATTCTTAGCAATCAAGAAAGTAATATAGATTTTATATAGATTTCAACATTTCATGAACTGTAAACATTAATCTGTACTATTTTAATAGTATTTAAGAGAAATTAAAAAAAAAAGAAAAGAAAAATGAAAATATGACAAATTATGCAGTCTTACATTAACAGAATAGATCTTCATGTAAATCAAAAGTTACAACACATTTCTATAAATGTTTATTTTTTTCCATTTATGAACAGTGTTCAGATAATTACAAACTATACTGAAATTTATCAGAACAATATTACTGAAATTTATCAGAACAATATTACATTTATTTCTGATAGATTTACAATAACTATATATTAACCCTTTAGGATTCAACTCATCCCATAAATACCAGCTCTCAACATTACCATAAGACAACAGTGCAAATAATGCAGAAAGTCACCCAAGCAGTGAGATTTTCAAATTTTGATATTTATGGAGTGTTGTTTGTTTGTTTATTTTTTTTATTCTTTTTAAATAGCCACACAATTTCCATGTTTCAATTTAAGAGAGGAAAAAAAAAAAAAAAAAGAAGCAAAAGCCAAATGTAGACCATCAAAATTATTGAACTGCAATAAGAAACCAAGTCATCAAGTCCCAGTGAATGGAGAAGAAGTTTTATTATAAAGAGAAAGATATCAGGAAAATATTCAAGGATAAAAAGAAAAATTCAGAATTTTTTTTTTTTTTTCTACAAGCTTTCAGTCATTACTAATACATCTGTTTTAGTAATTTTCAAAGTGTGGAAGTAATGATGTAAATAGTTACAAAGTTATTAAATTTTACACCTATCAATAGGTGAAGATAAATGCAAATAACAATCTAAAGTTACTCTCACCTATAGAGTAATAAATATTTGCATCAGTTAAAAAAAAAAAAAAAAAAAGTAGAATTGAATGGAAAAATTAATATGATCCAAATATTATATTCAAGCTTTCACAAAGTGTTTATCATATTTATAAAAAAAAAAAAAAAGATACAAGATTAAATTTCGTGAGAATGTTTATCGCCTAAATAAAGAACAGTTAATAAGTAGCTAACAAATGGACAGACAGTCAATTGATATTTACCTGCTGTCCAAGTGCTGTTAGCATATTAAGTTGTTTTGCCAGTGGTCCAGTGAACTGAAAGAAAATGATTTGTTACATTGATAAAAAAAATATTGTAATCAGTTTACTATATAAAAAAAAAAAAAAATATGGCCTGGCAGAATTTATAGCATTAAAAGAAGCAGAAAATATTCTCATCTTTCTATTCTAGCAAGGTCAAATACCTAGCCATCACTCATTTTAGGAAGGTTTTTTTTTTTTTTTCCTGGCAATTTTATCAAAGCCTTTGAAAAAAAAAAAATAAAATAAAATAATTACTACCTAAAGAAACCATTTTTTTTTTCTTTTTTTAAAATGTTTTTCATTTGAAGTAAACCATGACTCTTTTGTCTATTTAGCATCAGGAGACAATATAATTTAAAAAATAAAATAAGAAAAAAATAATTCAAAATTTTTCTCTCAAGTTTTCATTTAGCCACTCCTGTTCCAACCTAAAAGTCCTGGGCAGATCTCTGAATGGATAATACACCAAATGATAACAGTAAAAAGGTTCATCAATGGTAGATCTAAGTTTATTAAGGGAAAAAAAGACACAAAAGACAGAAAACGAGTTAGTTTGAAGATATTCTCTTTGATTAAAACCCAAATTCAACAGCTAAGTTCAGATGTAGAATATCCTTGGTTCCACAGAGCGTGAATCAACAAAGCAGTTCAGTGGTTCAATATATTCTACAGGGTATTAATCAGTAAACCAATTGATTGAACTAGTACCAGACAATATATAAGTTTATTTCAATGCACCAGTTATGAGGGAAGAGTACCAGACTCTACATTGTCCTTGACTTTTGAAGAAAATTTACAAAATCACTGGCCAGTGGCCACCTTCAGAGATCACAAGTTTACAAAACAGAAGACAACAAATTTAAATAAGGGTAGACACTTGATAACTGATCAACTCCAAGTAATATTTAAAAGAGAATTTGAAAAACCTGTAGTACTTACAACATACAAAAATACATTTTATAGATTTTTTTTTTTTTTTTTAAGAAAGTCACATACACAAAACCCCCTTTCTTTAAAGTTCAATCCAAAAGTAATAAGAAAATATCTATAAATGGGTAAAAGTGAAGATTTTATAAGATCCAAAGATACCATAGGATACCAATTAAATTTACACATACCAGTTGTTGGCGTTGTCCCTGCATCTGAAGAGCAAGCAAAATGATCAGGCCTAGTTGCATGTTTGGGTTCATCAAAGGGTTCAGTGACACATTGGGGCCAGGACCTAGCAGACCTGGAATATAACAAACTTTCACTGGATGGATGCAGCCTAACACCTCATTTAAAACAAGAACAATGTATGCACACACACACGCATACAAGGAAATAATCCATTTTAAGATCTTTAACACAAATTAAAATTGAATGATACCTTCATGTTTGCATAAACGCAATTGCTTTACAAAAACTGAAAAAAGGAGCAGATATAAATTTAGCATTATTATTATTGCTGTTGTTTACATTGAAAATCTTAGATTCAAGAAATGTATAGAGCAGATGGAGATAATCTTGAGACTAATTCATAAGGTAACTTAAAAAATTGATGTTTGTCCATCTTCTTCTCTAAATTGCAAATGATCCTTTGCAAAAAGGACAGTTATTGATGTAGAAAATTGCAGGATTTTTGTAGGCCATCTAAACTTTTGCAGGGGTACTGATCTAAGTGGGAAGGATGGAATGGGACACTCATTCAGCCAGGCAGACAAAGGAAGAAAGTATAGTTACCTGGTTTTGCATTGCGAACAATTGTCTGATGAATATAGGTCTTTTGCAGAAGCTGCAGAGCTTGCTGGAATTGTTGTAGCACTGAAAGAACAGGCAGACATGCATCACTAAAGTTAAAGAGTAAACAATGTCATTCCAAAAATTTTCAGGCCCCTTGTTGAGAACGGAGTCAAGGAAGAGAGAGAGAGAGAAAAAATGTCCTTGATCTCTGTAATACACACACACACACAAAAATATAGTTTGCTTAAAGCAACACAATAACAAAACATACCCAATTCAAATTACAGCTCATAGTTAGTAACAATATGGGATGTGCGTGTGTAGGTGTGGATGTGTAAAAGTTTAAAAGTGAAAGGTTAAAAACATATCCAACATAGTTAAAAGCAGAAAGTAATTGGGAGTGATGTAAAAAAAAAAAAAAAAAGTCAGGTGAGAGTCATCCTTTATAATGTAGAAGTCACCCAAAAGAATATGTTGCCAATTTCAACTGAAACACTGGATCAAGAAACAAGGGCAACAAAAGACTTGACAGTCTTTATAAGTCCATATAAAAGACACATAACAGATCTCTAAAAATATAGGGTTCATTACAAAAAAAATTAAAATAAATAAAAAATAGAGTCCAGTGCCGCTAAGAACGAACACTTTGAAGTATTGGAACTATTATAAGTCACACTATACTGGATGTGAAACTTTTGCAAACCCAATTCATATTAACTGGCAATATAGTCTACATAGTAATAATGGCTTTTATATAAGTTACAAAAATAAAACTACAAGCCTACCTCAGGGAGATAGTAATTGCCACCAATTTTCATCATTGCTGCTAAGTATTTTTCTTACATTTCAATGAAAGCCAGAAAAACAGAAAACCATTAATGCCAGTAAACATGACAGAGTGGAAGCAACAGCACATGCAGAGGATAAAAGATGATAATTGTGCAATGTACACGCAACACATCCTTTGAAAGAGACATGCATGTTGAACATCCATCTTCGTACTCTCAACACTCACCTGACAATAAAACTAATCTTGAGAATTCAGAAGGAGTAAAAGACAAGAGAGAAAGAATTTAATTTGCAAATTCCAACTTGGCTTTTGAAATATGTTTGTTTTTATTGTGGTTAAAAAAAAAGATTTTATGAATAAGTGCCTTTGGGATTTGTATTGTCGAAGCTGAGAAGGAGTTTGTGTAAAAGTACATGGGACAGTTCACACGTGCAATACCATGCATGTGTACGTGCAAATTCCATAGAAAGCATGCACATTTGTTTTTATAGATCTGCAACCTTGATAAATGTTATTGGAAAAAAAAAAAAAAAAAGTTGTAGAATTTTGTATGCATATATGAGAAGGTGAACAAAGTGCTGAACAAAGTTTCCACAACATTATGCAACCATACTTAGCCACAACACACACACTACAAAAATTAAAAACTAAAGTTTATTTACATGAGCTGTCATTAAACAGCAATAAATTTAATATGTCAAGGAAAGAATATGGTTTTCAGGAAAGAAAATTACATCTCCAGATTTTTCACAAATTTGAAACATTCTATAATTAAAATGCAATAATCATTATATATATATATATATATATATATACACACACACTTATAAAACTAGAAGTTTACATGCGTAAATCATTAATACCATTTTAATAAAAACATTTGACATTTAAAATTATGTACTTTCAAAATCTAAACCGAATGAAAAATCAAATATTTACAAGGAAATCACAAAGGAATTATGATCCCAGATTGAAACTAATGTATTTCTGATAATACAATTAGTTTCATGTGAAATGTAAAATGAAAACCACAAAAAAGACAGCAGTAAAGACTAAATGGATTTTTACAAGCATATAAATTACAATTGTGTACATTGCCTGCACAACCATCACTAACTAGTTCATAATTACCCTCTTCCCACTTTCATATATAAATCTTCAAGAGTTCCATTTCTCCCACTAAGTATTTGAAAGTTATTATCATGAACTTATTCTGAAATAAGTCTATTTAAAGGGGGTAAAAAACCTAAACAATCATCAATCAAACATCATTATCAAAATGAAAAGAAAAATACTTGCAAGCTTATGATTGAAAATGCCTTCACTTTTGTCATTTTTTTTTCTTTTTTTTTCAAATGGATGCGTGATAAAACAAAAACAAAAACAAATATTTGTTGGAACAAACTATGCGCATATACTTTCCAGATTAATTTCAGACTTAAGAGACAGAGAGAGTTTAGTGCCCAGCTCTCTCGCTATATATATATATATATATATATATATATATATATATAAAAAATCATACAAATGTTAGTAGCCTGATGAATGCAAAAAAAAAAAAAAAAATATTGCACTGCTACACTCTTAAGAGTATTATAGAAAATGCCCACTGACCAAAACACATCATCCTGCCTTTTCCAAGCCAAACAAATATTCTACATACACAAGGGGATGCTGAAAGTTCTTGGCATAACCCAAATCCTAAAAATCAAACTAAAAAAAAAAATTGTTGGGCAGAGCTTTTTTGGTTGCACCAAGTAATTTTCACTACCCCTTTTGTATGATAACAATCACCACTTTTCTCTCCAATCTCACTGACTGAGGATGACCTTGATAAAAATATTGATAAAATTGAAGAACAGTGCAAAAAATAACATTGTCTAAATCACTGGATTTTATCCTCATCAGGCTACACAACACTTGTTGTAGTCTACATACAGCATACGAGTCAAGGGATTTAGATTTGATATCCTTAATGTTGAAAGGACATAAAAGTTCTTGGTTTTATTTCAATCATAGATTTAAGAAAAAACAGTGATCAATGAAAAAGAGAAGGCAGTATAGTTGTGTGTTTTGGTACAAGTATATTAGTCAGTTTTGAACTTGGTGTTCTCGTGACAACTTGCTATACCATGAAATACAGTAAATGAAGCGATGTAAAAAAAAAAAAAAAAAAAGAGAAATAGAAAAAATTAAACAACCAAGAATTAATGAAAAAGAGTACATAAGACTTGGATTTGCATGGGATTTTCTATTAAAATAAATAAATTGCAATATTTCAAAATATGCAAAAAAAGCTAAGTAAAAGTGACATTAAACTTTCCCTGGATTTTCAGAAGTGCTACATTCAAAGAATTTTTAAGCAGTTTAAAAAAAAAAAAAAAAAAATCATTTGAACATCAAAGATGCTTTCTATCCCCAAATTTGCTATAAATTGTAACAGGCCCAAAATTAAAAGGGCATTGTTTATGGCTTATTTTTAGAAGAAAAATACTAAGAAATTTTAAGTAGTTCATTAGGCAATAACATCCTTTTAAGCTAAAAAGAGGTCAACATTTTGGCCAAGTATAAACAATGGGCATTTAGTGCAAAATAGCCAAATGAATATTTTTATCAACCTGAATGCAAAAATATTCTTGGTTTAAATTCTAACAAAATCTGCTTTCCAGCAAACTTTGAATTCCTCTGAGAATTGCAAGTCTAATAAATAGTCAACTGATCTTCATTGATATGCAAGCATTTTATTAAATAGCATGAATGTTGTAAAATTGGACAACATGGTTTTATAGAAGGGGGGGGGGCTAAAATAACAATGCTACTCACATTTAAAAATTAACAAAGAATTAATACAAACATAGCGAAAGACTTAGATGTTTGATGGTACAGCAAGCACAGCTAAGATTCAACAAATGAATGAATTTGTGAAGGGCAGTCAACCCACTGGAAGCCACATCACTGGGACAAAGAGGAAGAGGAGGAGGAGACAAGAGGAGGAGGAATGGCGGTCAGCTTTAGTTTGAATACTTACATTTTGGATTCTGATTGGCCAAGCCCTTCACTAAAGGGTTGTTCATCATTGAAGGGTTTGGAAACACAGGGTCAGGCAAGAGGCCTGACTTGGAGCTGTTCAATGCTGGTCCAACTTGGAATGGGGTGGCCTTCTTCTCCTGAAGTCCAAACAAACAGACAGTGACAACACACACAACAGACACAGCTCACAACAACAGATTGGGACCACAAGGTCAGGAGAGGGATGGTTGGGACCACAACTATTTCACATCCACCCACACAGACATGCCATGCACAGGGGGGGTTAATTTTTCCTGTGATTAAATTTCCAATGTGGGGACCAGATACATTGTGCTGCAGCAACAATAGTCATTATAGTTTTTAAAAAACGATTGGTTGCTACCAGCTGTAAAGAGCAGGGCATGTAGAAAGCCAATCAACATTCGAACGTTAAAAGAAAAGTTGCCTCCCTTCAGAGGTCTGCAGTAGAGATAGGTCATTCCTCCTCAACTGCTCAAACCCCTACTACACAAAAGCAGGAACAGATCACAAAGATAGCCAAGAGAAACTTACAGAATGAAGAGAAAGAAAAGGCCTAACAAAGCAAATTTTAAAGAGTATTATCAGGTGATTGATTACCTGAGGAGAATCCACAATTTGAACCAAAGACGAACATTTACAAATGAAAACAGAAAAAACAAAATATCAAAAAATGATAAATCTATTAAAAAAAAAAAAAAAAAAAAAAAAAAAAAATCTATCACCCTGAAGATTTTTTATAGACATTTTTCTTCCACTCAAATTATTTCTATTTTCTTTAAATAAAATATGCAACTGTTTGGCCCATACTGGCCTGTAAAATTTAATTTTTTTAATAAATTCCTTAATCAGAAAAGAAAGAAGAGTGGGAAGATAATGTTACCTTTTATCTCCATAATATAGCTTATATTTTTTTTTTTAAATCTACATTTCACAAAAAGCATGACTAATGTAAGATAAACAGTGAAATTAAGTTACATACAAATTGCTTGCCTGTTTTCTTTGCCATAAGGTCCACAAATAAGAACTGAAAATTTCCTAGCTTCCAAGATATTTGAAAAGAATAAAATGGCAGAAAAGAAGAAAATTCTGCCAAATATGTTAAGTTTCTGGAAGAAAAGTTATTTTATAAATCCATTAACCATGATGAATCAACATACAGATAGACTAGCACAACAAATTTGTGTATGATCTAGGTAAGAAATGAAAGAACAGAATAGGCAAGATGTATGAAGACTGAAGAAAAAAATTTTTTTTTTAAATCACACTATCACAATCACCAACACATCCAGGGTCTCTATTACAACACAAATGAAAAGGAGACTTTACCAAAGTGACCAGGCAGTCAGAAAATGTGACATGGGATGTGTAGACATAAAAGTCAGCAATTGTATAACAACACTGACAAATTTTTATTGTAATAAAAATAATGGGAAAAAAAATAAATAAATACAGCCAGACAAGCATTTATTTTTCCATTACACATTCATTGATCAACTTCTCAAACATTACTTGAAAAATAAGACAAAAATATGTACATTAAATGATTATATCACAAATTCTCAATAGAAAAAGCTTCAAATTTTTCTGCCCTCAGTTGCACTAAAATTATATTTACAATTTATTTAAAAAAATATTCAAGTTTTGTATGAAAATCTATAAAACCGATTTTCAATTTAGTAAGTTTTTTTGTTTTTTTTTTATTTATTTATTTTTCTTGTGTATGTAAAAAGATACTTATTTCAATAGTCAAAAAGTAATCCCAAGTTGAAGCAAAATATCACCGCTTTATGAAAAATTTTATCAGGACCATAAACATTGTTTTTGCATCAATAGAATTGTAAACATGGACATGCCTAATTCCAAATAAAGCTACATATTCTATAGATATTTAAGGTAGGGAAAGGCTAATTAAGAAAAATGAATAAACACTTTAAATATAGCAAAATAAGATTCTTTAATGAAATCAGAAGTGAAAGCAGTCCTTTTTAGTATCAGACATGTCACTAAGATAAAAACATCCACAAGTCAGACTGCAGAGTTCATATACACAAGTACATTTGCAATAGACAATTCAAATATTGTATTGAAAAGCCTAAAATGGTTAAACATGTTGACTACATAGGCAGAGCAGGTGCCAGTAGGAGGAGCAGTAAGGAGGAGGAGGAATGAACAACTGAAGATAGAAAGACAAAAAAAAATAAATAAAAATAATAAAGAGCCCAGTCGAGATCTCAGTCTTAAACACACTCACAAATCACAAGCATTCAAATTCAAGAGTCATGAAAGTGTCAGATTCTGGAGGGAGGGCAGGGTGTGGACAAAATTGGCATGATGTTTTTTTTTTTTTTTTTTTTAAATACATAAAAAATAAAAAGCAACAAAAATACAAACAATGCAATCTTGTAGTCTGTGTCATATTGAGTAAATATAGAACAAGATTAACAGTTACTTTAGAAGTAACTGTCATTTAAAAAGAACAAAAAAAAAATTTATACATTTTTGTATTTAAGAGGCCTTCAGTAGTTATTCTTATAGCCAATTTATCAAGTATTTAATATAATAGTTACAAGTTGCTTAAGCAATAAACTTCCTTTCCAGTCAACTTTGGTCTTCAAAAATTTAAGTGTAATTCCTGTTTTACTGTTCTGTCTTTAATAAGGTTTTCTTTTTTTCATATTCCCCCAAACTCAGTAACCCTTTGCATCTGAGTGACTTTATTACTCTGCTTAGGGTGAAATGATAAAATTGATGACAGGTTTCAGCTTAAACTAAATAAATTAGTATTGTGTTGAAAGCTTCAAGTTACTGCCAACTGATTTCAGCTGTTAGTTGGCACAAAGTAAGAAAATGTTAGGTGTAATTATAGCTTCTTTGAAGATACTTTTCCCAACAAATCAAAAAAAATTACAGTTAAATATTAAGAACACAAAAATGACTATATTAGGAAATAGTGACAAATGTTATTATTCAAGTAGTGTCCCTTCTTGAAAGCAATAACTCAGTATTGATGTAATTTCCCCAAACCTAATCGGAATCAGTTGATAAAGCTTCAAATTAGGTTTTGAACTCCCGAGTTTCAAGTACAACCCCAGTCCAAAAGGAAATGGAAAACACAAATCAGTTATAAAAAGGATACATATCAAAACTTTATTAAAATCCTGTAATATATACCTTGACACCTGGACTAGAATATTCATGTTTCAGCCATTGTACTCTCCTGCCATGCTCAGGGTGCATTATACTTTGTGATCTTGTTGGTATTTTGAAGTGAATCCTTTAATTCTCATTCTTTTCTCAAGATTATACTCTAAGAATGAAAAGTGGAAGGAGAACCTATCTACTCCAGTGGATTGCATTTTTTTTTTTTTTCACACGTTATTCGTACTTTGTGGATTATTTAAAACCAAAACACATTTTGTATTATAAGAATTTTTTTCCATTCTGTGAATGAATCTTGCATCTACAATATTTTGGAGAGGAGTTAGAGATACAAATCATACCATTTAATTTATGTTTGGTTGAGTGTAACAAACATGACTGAAATTCAAACTCTGCTCTCATTCCAAGCAGCTATCCACTACACCACCCATACATCCTATTCCATAAAGGATTCAGTTCAAAATTCTGAGAAGTGAACTGGGTATGACAAAATACCTGAAGAAGGCCAGAGTGTACAACAGCTAAAACAGTAGTGTAACAATCAAAATGTGTATATTTGCCCAAATGTAAAAGACATGTAATTCCTCATTTCAAAAATATAGACATAAAACCCTAAACTTTAATATTTCTATACATACCTTTCCCAACACTAAAGTCAGTTTTTATTTATTTTTAATTAGTTATCAATCAAAGAAGATATTAAGATTTAGTATACAATATGAAGCAGCATGACACAGAATACAAGATCAACTACATTATTAAAGCTACATCACTGAAATAAAGATCAGAAAAAAAAAAAAAAAAAGAAAAAAGCCAGCAAATAAGAATTTTTCTTAAAAAAGAAAACAAATTCAACTCACAATTATACAAATTGTATTAAGGGGGAAAATTTAAACCTTTAATGGGCTATTATTGAAAAAGAAAAAAAAAAAGAAACTAGTGAAAGAATTATAAACAAATAAAAAAAAAGTTAATATATTAAGAATGCAAAGAACTAGAACAGTTCATCTTCAATAAAGTATGAGAGAATTTTTTTTTTTACACTTCAACTACAAGTTCTTTAAGTTATTAGATATTAATCAGTAAAAATGTTTCTTTTAAGTAAATAAAAAAAAATTATTTTTAATTTACATGCTTTCATCATCAAATTAGAAAAGTATTTAAAAAAAAAAAAAAGTAGCAGGATAAAATAACTAGCTATATAAGACTATCCATAAATGTTATGGTATAAAAAAATATTTGAGGAGAATATAGACCAAGAGACATTTCCATAAAAAAAGCATGATGCTATAAAAAAAAAAAAAAAAAAAAAAAAAATGAACACTAACAAATTTAGATTTTTTAAAAAGGAAACCTAAGAAATGTTTATTCACATTCATAAGACTAAAAAATATCAAAATTTTTAAAAAGAAAAGGACTCTTCAAAATTTAGTTTTAATTCTTTTTTCTATTTGTGAAAGAATAAACAGATTTGAAAAAAAAAAAAAAAAAAAAAAAAAAAAAAGACTAACATTAATAAAATTATGAATATTACAAAACAGAAACACTGGCCCCAAAAACAAGGAATTGCAAACATAAATATTTATAACCAACTTCTAAGTGAAACTCATCTACCAGTTTTACAAAAGTGTGATATCATAAAAATTTAAAGACTTTATCTATTGAAACTAGTAATTAGATTAGTTTTAAGAGAAAAATAATACCAAACAGATACATACCAAGCTGCCAAGTAAAAATTGATGAGAAATATTTGATTGTCTTCATAACAAACTGTTATTTTCAAACTTCTCCATTTACAGTTAAAAGAAGAGACTATCCAATCATAGCAGCTATTATGAGCAACATGTAATTAGATTACAGAGAAAGAATTTCAACAATGTTATCTACAGATTTAAATTGAAGAATCCACCATGATGTCTAAGGTTAAAAGTAATTTATCTGAGAAAATAGGTTTTGAACAAGGTATGGCTTCAAGTCCTTGTACTTAATAGAACTTACCTTTCTCTGTATTATTTTATTGTAGACAACAACTGCAGAAAGTCCAGGAACACTGAAAGAGATCTCCATTTTATTGCCTTTGATCGATGCCTCTCTCAGGTTCCTCCAAGTGGATTCTGCTTCTTCTGCTGTGGCATATTCCACAATAGCACATTCCTGGCATACATTGTCTTTTAAAACAATCTAGATTTCAAAAGAAAAAGAAAATTTTTAAAAGACTGATATTTTACATGTTGGAATAATAAATATCCAATTCAATTAGGGTAAGTATTTATGTCAGTAGTGTAACGAGCTACAGAGAAAACAAGAGCTTTGAATATCTTGCTGAAAATAAAAATTAAAAAAAATGTCCACTTTTATCTATAAATAGAGCATACCTTAAAACTATACTTTTTATCATATATATCAAGAATTTCAAGTATATCTGAGTGCTAAAGTGCCAAGGTAAAATATATGATAGAAACTGGAATTAAGACCAAACTACCCAAAGAATTATTCTAACAGAAATACATCTAAAAAGTGTGAATGTGGAATAAATTGGATTTAAGAGTCCAAAGATTCATTCTAATATCAATGGAAAGTCAAGTCTTTGCAGTTAGTTGAGGTCCTGCCCAATAAATGCTTTTTTTTTTTGTTTAATGTTGCAGTACCGAATGTAATTTTGATGAAAGTTAAATCAATCAAACACTCAAAAAGCTGCAGAAAAAGACTTTCATATTTTAAAAGAACAAATATCTGCAACTGATTTATCCTATGTATTTCCTCCCCAAACTAGTTTATGTTTGGCATTAGCTTCATTATACAGGACAATAATAGGTTCAAATTGATTTTTTTATCTTTAATTTCTAGTGACCTGCAGCAAATTACCCTTAATTACTGTAATCTAAAGAAAATTATATTTAAATTTGATTAAAAAATTAAAATTCCTTTAAAACTTTGTAAAAAAAAAATCAAATTTTCTCTAAAAGCAAACTTCAAATTTATTCCATTTTCATATTAGATTTTTCACTATTTTATCGATTTATAACTTTAATAATAATTATACTTTTTTTCTAATTTTCAGAACAGGAAATAATCTATGCTAATAACATTCACTTGAAGTGGGAGGGGAATTACCAAAATAGATATTTTGGACAGAAAATCAGTAAGAATTATGAACCAAGAAGTATTTTATTAAAATATTTCTAATAATTACAAGCAAACATCAATTAAGAAAAAAAAAAAAAAAAAAAAAAAAGAGAGAAAGACTTGATATCAGTAATTTCTTTTTAAATCCTCTCAAAACAATGTCATTTAAAATATTCCCCAGTAAAAGTAAAGATTAACTTTTTCTTTTTTAAAATATTTACAATATAGTTGAATTAAGGTGATTTTAATACATTATATGAGAACAAACTCAAGCAAAAAAGTAAATTTATAAAAAGAAAAAGTTTAAAAAGATTTTTTTTTTAAACTATTACTTAAGCTTTCTATTAGTAGTTAACTATTAAGATAAGAAACAAATTGAAAAAAAAAAAAAAAAAAAAAAATGGTAGGTAGCTATTTTGGGGATAACAGCCTGACTTAGTTTTTGCTTGTTAATTCAACTTCACTGCACCAGTGGAGTTGAATTAACCAGCAAACTAATTCAGGCTGTTATTCCCAAAATAGTTACCTACCAATGCGTATATTCATTTCACAAATTGATACAAAGTTAAAAACGCAAGTTTGCACGTAAAAAATAGTCATGAAAAGCATAGTTCACTGCCCCAAGCAAAAATTATGAACAGTTGATGTTGGTGAGCAGCTATCCCATAATGCAGTGAAGAGTATTTCCTTATCACACACTGAAACTATTTTTTTTTTTTTTTTCCATCCGGTATTCCATAAATGTTGATTTCACATTGCCAAGACTTTTTACAAAATTTTGGCAAGTAACAGAGCCAAACAACGTACAAGTAATTGCAAATTTAAGGTTCAATTTGGATAAATCTTAATTTACATTTTTTGGCTTCTGCTAGAACACCAATATACTCTAGGACAAGGGATTCAATTTCTAGAGTTTCTTGTGAGAGAACACAATCTCCATAGCATAAATATTTACTACCTCAAACAAAAGTTTCATTCTCAACAGTAATTTTGTTAAATTATAAACAGTAAACATGGTTTGAAAATGAATCCACTGCACCTGCAAAACAAAAACAGCCCCATTTCAAGTTACTGCTTGAAGATATAAAATTTCTAAGTTTTATAGAAGTTTTATTTACATTTCAGAAGTGAAATATTGTCATTTTTTTTTTAATAAGCTAGAGTGGTAAGTTCTGTGATATGGAAAACGGACACACACACACACACACACACACACACACACACACACACACACACAAATAAAATAAAAAAACTGGATTTTTGCTGCTAAAAAAATAAAATATTCCAACAGTAAAATTTAAAATCCCTGAGCTGGAACTCAGCAGAATCATTATTTTGCATAAATTTGCAATACACAGCAAAGTCAGTCACTTATGCACAAGCACTATGACCTATATTGCTGCAACATGTCATTCTATAAATAACATGGGGACATAAACTAATTCATGATATTAATCTGGCCAAAGCAGTCACTGATGGTCACCACAGGGTAAATACCCATATGCGGTATTAGCATCTGAATAGCATGTCATGCACAGTCAAGGGTAGTAAAAATAAAAGTGTTTAGTAATTAATTTAGATTTTTAAATGCTGGTTTGATTATCTTTCACAGTGAGTAAATAAAAAACTAGCAAACTTGGTGGGTGCACACTCTGAGCATAATATAGAGAGGATGATTTTTATCATGATGGCAATAAATTATTTTGCAGTTTTTGTCAACACACTGTAGATTGGGACTCCGAGACAGGCTTATGGATCATGAAATAATCAGTGAAGCACAAAAAAAAAAAAAAAAAAGATGCCTGTAAGTAGACTATACATTTGTAGGTTTTACTGTTTACACACAAGTCTATTTTTCAAATGTTTTTATAATTTTGAGACAAAAACAGAAAACTGAAATTTATTATTATGAAAGAACACAGAATTTGATGTTTTAAAGCAGAGAACTTGCCACTGTAAAATAATGATAGAAATTTACTGTATAATTTGTGCATCCATTTTTATGAAAAATTATTTTAAGAGGAAGATTTAATAAATTTCAACCGAAAGTAGCTATAGTTTCCCGAGTTTTTAGCTGATAGGCAAAACACCTTGAGCTCAGATAAATTTAGGACAAATTAGTAGAGAAAGAGAAGACACATTCTTCGTGTATGCAGTTGGTTTGTTTTTACTTTCCTCTTTTCTACCACAACTTCATGAATTGAAGTGTGGTACTAGAATGGCAGCTAGATTTCATTTTACAGTTGAGATTGATAGATATCACTATAAGAGCTTCTCTCACAGTTTCTTCTCCCAGTTTTTGTCTGCAGAACTCTTCCAGTTTCTTGCTTTCCTGTCAACTACTATCTTCAAAAAGATTTAAATGCAATATCTTGTCTATTTCAATCCTGTTCTTTTATTATCTTTTGTACAATATTTTTTTTTCAGTTTCTTTCACTCTCTCTTGCATCTTAGTGGCTTTATATTGCCTTGCTTGGGGTGAAATAATTTGAAAAAAAATAAATCAATAAATAAAAATAAAAAATATGAATATGAATCTATATTTTTGCTAATTTATTCCTGCAAACATCAATAAAGTTTTGTCTGCTGATGTCCAAGACATTACATTCAGTTTTAGTTGATATTTGAAGAAACTATCATAATGCCTGCATGATATATGCATTTGGGTTCAAACTTCTCAAATAGTTTAAGAATATCAAAAAAAAAAAAAAAAAAAAAAAAAAAAAACCCTTTGAAATTCAGTTGCCATAGCCTCTACCACCAATTAAACTTTTTGAATTTAAATTTATTGTAGATAAAAATGTGCTGACTAATTTGAAGTATCAATAAAATCTTTCTTCCCTCCCAAGCAGATAGAGCAACAGAAAATTTGGAAATTGTAGTTATCACTTTAATTCATCATTAACTTATTTTAAGATTCCTTTAGAGGACAAAAAGGTTATTTTAGTTCACTTATATTTGTCTATAATATTTATAAACGCCACTTTGAGACAGAGAAAGAATTTGACTATTTTGAAGGCATCAAGTTTCCATGCCACATTTAAAGTTTTAAGCACTATTTTTGATTATATAATTCCTCTAGAATATATACAAAAAGTTTTTTTCTTTTCTTTTTTCCTTCCTGTATTTTTTAAGGTGTTGACACTGTCAACAGCAAACAAATCAAAATTCTTATATAAATTAGTCTGTATAATCATTTTATGATAATAGCACTTCATAATGCATTACATACAAGAAACAGGATTGTTCAAGTGTCAAACAAATTTCTTGTCTCCAGTAATTTTGGCAAATTGAAACCAGTTTAATCACTTTCTACCTCATTGAATGACTTCTTGATCAATTGATTAAGTTGTTTCTTATGACTTAATTCTTTGATTTATTTAAAGCTGAAACATTTCGGATTGTAATTTTTTTTTTGCCAGTGAATATTGCATTAACAAGTTTTTGAAAATAATTTTTCCAGATACAGTCTATTTAACCCATAGTTGGGGGAGGAGATGGATTGATATCTTTCCTAAGGGGAGTTGCGCTTAAGTGAATGCAACAAACCAGACTTCACATTTCAAGTTGCTATCCATCACATCACCTACACATCTGATCTTCTTGGAAATAAGATCTTCAGCAACTGCCTCAGAATTCAGTAGTAATTTACTGTTGTATAATAAATTTGTATAATATCTAAATATATAGATATGTATGCCTATTGTTTCAGTTTTATATCTGACCAAACAGCTTGAGAGTGGTGGCTGAAAATTAGTCTACAAGGATAAAGAAACCATGAGAAACACATAAGTAGTGTTGATACAAAGTATAGTGAACTCATTAAATTCACACAAGATCAGCTACTTCTGTTTGTTAAAAAAAGGGGGGGTGCACTTTAGGGTTCAAATGCTGAATGACATTACTCGGTGCTAAAAAGATTACCAATAAATATAAACTTATAGATAGTGAACAGAAGCTAGTATACCAATTTTACAGATAAAACTGGTTTTAAAAGAAAACATGAAAAAAGATTATGCATACCTGGCAATAAATGGGAATGTGGTAATTGCTGAACATAACCTTCAGTTCAGAGTGGTCTTTGAAATCTTTTGGAAGACCATTAACTAGGAGACACCGAGAATTCAACTTGTCATAAGAAACAACTAAATTCTCCTCGATGAAGTCACACTGTAGAACATGACCTTTGTACTCTTTCCAGTTGAGCTCCTCTCTGATTTGTCCAGATTTCTCTTTGTTATGACAATATTCAAAGACAGCATAATTCTTGCTTTCACCTGAAAGATAAAAGTACTGAAGTTACACAATTTTGAAAACCTTAAAAAAAGCGTCGGTGTTTTTATAGATTTATTAAATATAAAAAATATACCTATGAAAAATTTGGGTTGATTTCTGACAATCCTAGTGTTCACACTGTGCAAATTTAAGTTTATGCACCTTTAAATACCAAGTAAAAACCCAAAGTTAAAGACCCAAAGCAATGTGATTTTTATTCTCTGGCATTTACAGATATACTTAAAGCTTGTTCTACTGAACATTCTTAGAAAAGGTTTTGCATCAGCAAAATCATAATACAAAATAGCTTCTCACTTATTCATGCGAGGAAGTAAATTTATACTATTATGAAATCATTCAGGAGAAAAAAGAAATTAGGTAGCTTATAAAACTTGACTTGAGTTTTCAGAAATGGACTTCAAGTGTGTGTGTGTGTATCTGTGTGTGTACACCACGCCCCCAAGTGGAACTGATTAATTTTGAACATAAATCACAATTCATCAGAGTCATCATTGATAATACAAAAGTATTAAAATAAACTTATACACTGAAATATTGAAGAAATTTATTAATCTACTTTAATAGTTTTACATTAAATATAGGTAATTTAGAAACCTCTTAAGTGAAAGCTAAGCAAAACAAATGAGTCAAAGTAGATATTTAGTAGAAATTAAATAAAAGTCTAATCAAATATTTAAAAGTCAGAGTTGTTGATTAAATTTGAATTAAAGTTGACTTAATTACAATTGAAGAAATTGAATTAAATTTTCTAACAATTCACAGATTTTACAAAACTGCCAAAATTTAAGTCATGTTTATTTTTTTCCTTTTTTTAAAAAAGTCACAAGAGGTTTTTACTTGTATAGTAGAACTTAAAATCAGGTTATCCATTGAAGGGAGCAAAAAAAAAAAAAAAAAGCATAAAATGTAACCAATTCCAGAGTTGCCAACTGATAATTTGTTCAGTTGTAAAGCATCAATGAAAAGCCTTTCTTGGATACCCAAGAAATTTGATTCTACGGGGAAGTTTAGTTAATCTGACTCTTCCCAGATGCCAATCCCACACAGGTATTAGCTTAACAGAAGCACATTCTCTGCAAAGTAAACAGTGTGCAAGAAAACAGAGAGAAGCCAGACTGATAATTTTACAACTGAACACAAAATATACTGAATAGTATTTACGCACATTTATAACTTTAAAAAAAAAAAAAAAAAAAGCTGAATTGATTTTAATGAATCCTGGAGTGAAAAGGCTAAAAGTAAATGTAAATCAAGAATGGAAAGAACTTTGTTGTTGCAGCCACTGTTTTATTAAAATTGTATCACTATCACATGATATGCTGGTACTTCAAAACAATTTATTTTATCTGTAAGAAAAAGAAATGCAAACATATTTCCTGGATAAATACATCAAACTGCATTATATTAATGCTTCTTCCTGTAAATAAATTGCCATGAAATTCTCCTCCAGGAATTTATCTTAATAGGAATCAGCCTTACTTTTCAATGAGGAACATGCTAGGATTCTCCTAACATTTAGGTAGAATCAAGTTGTCTTTACTGCTATAAATTAATCATGTCAACTTGGTTTAAACCACTTACCAATATCCGACAAAATGACAAAAAAAAAAAAATCCCTCCTTCATAAAGCCAAAAACTTCCAACATTTACTCTCTTCATACATCAAAATTGAAAATACAGTTCCAAAATTAAGTATATATTCAAAAAAGATTATACAGATTTTGGTTCTTTCAAGGTTTTGTTTACATGTTGATCAATTCCAACATAAAAATGTTAACTTTGTCATTTAAATAAGCTTTCCTTAATTAGGAAAAAAAAAAAAAAATTTTTTTCAAAATTCCATAAGATTTTGCATTTTTTTTCTTTTCAATACGAATCAACAGAGAATAAATCAAGTTAACAAGGTCAATCATGTATGTTTTCCATTAAAACTATCTCTCATATATATATATATATATATATATATATATATATATATATATACACACAACCAGAGCAATAATAATCTTTAGTTATTTTCAAAAGAATCTACTTCAATAGGTTAAGTTGTAAAAAGCAAAAAAAATTGATACAAGGTGAGCTCAGTATTTGATAACATGTCATTATCACACCAGAAATGAGAGAGATGGCATGTAATGTTACTTGGTATATGCCAAATTGTAACATTCTCATTTCTCTTAAATGTATCAAGAGCATTAATGGCCTATAGAGGAGATAAATGATTGAACTTGTTCAAAGGGAATTGTCATGTGCATTAAGCTTCTCACTGCAGGCTGACAGCAGTCAAAATAAGTTACATAATAATAATCAACATTATGGAAGATTTTCAACATATTCAAAAAATTCAAATGAAGCATTGAAAATCATTTGCAATTTGAATGTTAGCTACTTTGATGTGTGGTTTCCACATCTGAGGAAGACAAAAAAAAAAAAATTCCATTCTTGATTCATAATTTATGTACCTGTCCCTTTATAATTAAAAAGAAACTATTTCATGCAATAAAAAACAAAAACAAAAAAACAACATACTTTACAAAATAGAATGCAAGAGATCATGGTGCAAGTGAAATGAACTGATCAGCAACCATACCAAAACTCGGATTTCATTCTAAAAAAAATTGTAATGCTGTGAGAGTGAATAGAAAAATCCTTTATGACCCCCTTCCATAAAAATCAAATAATTTGTACAAGTACTCCTCTCAAACCCGCTGATCAAGAATGAAGATAATTACAAGTTTCTTTGCTGAAGAGACAGAAAACAAAAATTGTTACAGCTTAGTTTGGAACCTTTCTTGCTCATCTGGCACTCAGCAGGAGGCTCACACAATAGAGAACAGACATTTGTGGTTTTTGAGCACCTTGAATGATTTTGAACCCAATTCTGGAACTCTGCTAATGCTATTTTACATAATAGGAAGAATAATAACACTTTCATATTTGTAATTAAAAATACTAGGATTTTAGGTCTAGAAACCTTAGTCTGCAGCAAAGAGCCAAAGAAAAGTAAAACACTAAAAAGAGCTTTATTATTATTATTTATTCAAACCATTCAGACTTCATTTGGATAGGATTTTCAGTGACTCAAGTAGATTCAGCATTTAAAAAAAAAAAAAAAAAACAGGCGTAGATTGTTATTTTCTGATTAATATCAGAAAATTTATATCAAAATTCAATATATGCTGTCAAAAGTCAGTAATGATTAATTTATTGTAAGAAAGAACTACAGGATGCAATGGATAAATTGTTGTCATTTTATATTTTTAATTTTGCACATGTGCATTGTTTGTTTTTGATTTTGTTGACTGCACAGTAATGTCCAGTTGGGCATCATCTGCGAGAAAAAGAGCACCATGACAATTCACTCCACCAGAAATTTAGAAACAGCATGCCGTACTGCTTGGTATTCATGCCAAAAGCTCCAATATAAACATTGGAGAGTGTTTGGGTGTCAATCTGAGGACAGTGCAGAGGATTCATAAAGTGTCTGATGAGTTTAATGGTGATTACAAAGGTGTTCTCACTAGTGATGGCACCATTATGCCTCTAGTCATCTTCTCAGATTCAACAGAGGCCTACATCATGTGTCTTAAGGAGGCAGTGCTGCCCTGGGTCAACAAGGTGTCTGCTGGAAGACCCTATGTCTGGCAACAGGACTGTACCATGCCACACAAGCAGGAGAACCCAGTCATCGCTGTCAGACAACTTCCACAACCACATTATCCCTTATATCTGGCCACTTAACTCCCCAGACTGCAACCCCCCTTGATTATTATGTGTGGTGGGCCACAGTTGAACAAGAGACCAACAAAGCTCCTTATAACACCAAAGAATAACTGAAGGCAAGGATTATGGTAGACATTCACCAACTTAAGGAGAATGCCCAGAAAAGTTGCTGAAAATTCTGATGTTGACTGGAGGCTGTGGTTGAACCCAACAGCAATTTTACAGAATAAATTTACTCTTTAGCATTTGAAAATATTTTTTTGTGTAATTTAAGCAAATATATCTTTTAAAATGAGATAGATGTCAGTGTTATTTTCATTTAGACAATTCACCGCATTATGTACAGTTTTAAATATCTTCACAAGAACAATTTTCTTACATTTTACAGGTTTAAGTCATTTTAATATAAAGTTAAAAAAAAGTCACTACCAATTTTGTTAGATTTATTCAAAGTTGGTAGATCAGAGATAAAAAAAACAAAACAAACAGGCAAAATATAAAAAAAAATTGTTTTAATATAACTGAATTTTGTGTTGTAAGGCCTCAAAATTCACTTGATATTTTTTTTTTTTTTTTTTTAAAGAGTATCATGTTAAACCGACCTATCACTTATATTCTTTTTAACAAGATTCTATTGACTTTCTTAGCAAGAAGAGGCAGAAAAACCAACTATCCAGAATTGATCATCTAAAAGTGATGAAACATGAGCATTTCAATTAGCTTAAAATGCTCATCATAACTTGACAAATATTTGGAGTCAGGACAAAACTAGACCAGTTCTGAGATTGTCTAATTCCAAAGTAGATATAACATGCATCTATCTGGAAAGATTCCAAAAATTCCAAATGTTCACTTGTGAGCACATTGTATTTTCAAATTACCATTTATTTTCTGATTTTGAAGTTAATTCCCTCAATGAAATAAAAAAGGTCTTCTGCTCCGAAAGCATTAAGATGTTAAATGGAAGTTGGCAAGAGAACAGAACGGTTTAATATTAAAGTTAATATAAGTTTTGTTTTTTTTCTCCAAAAATATTCAAGAGGTGGATTTACACCTTTTATTTTTCAACATTTTAAACAATTTAGAATGTTTCACACATGAAGATGCCAGGATAGTATTTGGAATATTTTTTCCCTTTAACTGGACATCTCTAAGCAAACAGCTGAAATTTAAGTTGAAAAGTGCAACAATCAGTTGATTTGCCTTTATGCATGCACACACAAAAAAAAAAAAAAAAAAAAAAAGAATCAATGTATTGATCAGTGGTGACAATTTTTGTTTGGCTGTTGTCAGCTGGCAACAATAAACATCATTATACATTTTATATTGATCATATATCATCTACCACATAAAAAAAAAAAAAAAAAAAAAAAAAAAAAAACAACAACACATACCATTTCTAAAGTTTATTCCACATTTTAAAATGCATTTGTAATTTTCAGAATTAAAAAGTAAAAAGGAATGGTAAGAATTCTTATTCACAAATCAGTTTGTTTTTTATTTTTTTGTTTTTTATTCTGCTAAACACTATCCAAGTATGTATTTTTAAAATTTCTATTCTCTTGAATTTATTTTCTTCACATCCTTAGTAAACAAAAGCACAACTTTAAAAAAATTGAATATTAAATGTAATTATTTGACAAAAAGTTTAATATTTACTTATTCAAATATATGTGCGTGTCCGCTACAAAATAAATATATAGACAAACCTCCCATCAACAGACTTTGGACATAACAGACAAAATCTGCAGGCAAAAAAAAAAAAAAAAAAAAAAAACATTGTTTTTTTTTGGTTTGTAACTTACATAAAAAAGTAAATAATTCTCAATGTTAATGTAATGCTTAAAAGTAAAACTTTATTAAAAAAAAAAAAAAAAAAAAAAATCTAAATTCTCCTCCAAAATAAATTATTTTTTGAAGTAAGGCTCACTATAGTTTTTGCTTACAAAATAATTAAATGTTTAAATATCTTAATTTAAGTTTTACTTTTTTTATTAATAATAATTTGAAAAAAGGTTAATGAACTTATCTAAGTTTGATTTGTTTGAAAACATTAACAGTATTTATGTTAGTATCTAAATAAAATAAAGTGTCTTTTTTAATACAAATATGGGGATTCTCATTTGCAAATTGATCAAGATACATAGTGTACAAGTAGCAGTAGGGCAAAGAGATCAGTAACATTGTTTTACTAGAGAAAGCAAAAAAAAATTACCGATAACCACCAATGATCAAAACAACTGTTCATGAATACCTAGTATTTACTAGCATTAATAGAAATAAGGAAATGTATTTTGATACAACCATTAACCACTAAATATAAAACAAGTGATAATATCAATTTGGATTACTTACCCGTGTCTTCACAGCGCATCAAGAAAAATTTTTCCATTGCACCATAAGTAAGTAGAAGACCATGGATTTCTTTCTCCTGGCATCCATGGGGCAGATTTGTCAAACAGAGCATCTTGTCACTAGGATGTAATGCCACAGTAACATCAGTTCCCAAAAGGTGTTTGCCTGTAAGTTGTTCCACAATCTCTTCAGCATCTTCTCCATTCATCAAAGTGACGACAGCTGAAACAGGACAATCATCTTTATTGAAGTTTCCAATGAGGAGAGATTTTAATTTAAAATCTGGTTTAGTAGAAAACGTAGAAAGCCCATTACAAGATGTCTGCAAGTATGGACAGCAGAACAAGAATAATCATCCTACTTGGATTTTACAAAGAGCTCAGTTTAAAATTCCCAAAATTTACCTAAGACAAGAAAAACCATAAGCAAAAGAGTACAACAGCCAAAACATTGCAACTACATCAACTGAGATAAGGATATTTGCCTGAACAGATTAATGCATAATTAAATGATTTCATTGCTAAATATTTTAAATTGAGATGTCTAAAAAGATTGTTACAACATAAAAAGTTACAATACTTTCATTGATATCCTTTTATAATATTTATAACCTAAAAGATTGAAATGATTACAAGTACAAAATGAGTATTTTATCTCCCAAGAATCAATAGTCACCTACATATTATTTTATAAGAAAAATAAAAAAAACCTTAATCAGTAAATAATTAAAATAGCTGAAAAATAACTAAACTTCTCCCACCCCTCAATTTCTTAATTTAGCCAGAATGGAATATGAACAAATAAGATTCTGTTCTATGCAAAAGATTAGTATTGTTAATGAAGAAAAATATTATTCTCAACTATTTTCAACCGGTCAGGATAATTTAAAATTTCAACTTCTAAAAATCTGCATATCTTTGAGTAGTGGGGATTGGCTGTTTTTGCAAGACATGGCTTGTTTACAGAACTTAGAATGGATGCCTATTAATCTGACCCAATTCCATGTAAGAGAAAAATGAAGAATGGAAAAATAAATGAAAAAAACCCAATTCCTTGCTTGTATCCAAATTTAAAGATAAATTCATCTTTAAGAAATCAATTTTGATAAAGGTACAGCTACAGGAATTGTTTAACTAGATTCAATCTCATCCAAGATAGATCTAAAAAACAGAGTTAATGGAAGCAAAAATGCTCATCTAACTTCATACACAATATAAACATGTGATCATATAAATCTCTGAATTTTTTCTTCAGACCATTTTGACTAATTTTTTAAAAGCTTCAGAAAATAAAGTCAATTACATAATCAATTTCTTTCTTATAAGCATTCTGAAGGATTATTCATAATTTAGAGAATAATTCAATAAATTTAACAGATTTTAAGAGATTCACTATTTTATGCATTAATTCATAATTTATTGAATCGCTGAAACTTTTCTACATTTTAAAGAAACTAAATTATCACACTCACCATCTCATTGCTAAAATTTATTAAAAAGAAAAATTTCTACTGACAGATTACAGAAATTAATTCAAGAAAAGAATGATCAGCCAATGTATCTATGGGTGGTTAGAAGTAAAGAATTCATCTGAAATTAACTGTTGCAATAATATTTATTTGGCATTTAAAAGCAATTCAGATTTGCTCTGAAAAATTGTCACTAGCAAAATTATTCATTTAACAATGAATAATAATAATGCATTTTTTCATGTACTACAATCATTACTGCAAATAACCTCTATAAAAGGAATTATACTTTTACTGTTTAATCAACATGTTTATCAAGGCCTTTTCTAAAGATATTCTAGGATTTCTGCCAAAACATTGAAAAATGTTGCATTATTCCATACATTGCAAAGCTGCGACAGCCACTGCAGTCAACCAATCTTTGAAATAATCCTCAATTTGATCATGCATGAGATAAAATTGAATACAGCTGTGTCAAACCCATACACAATTACAAAGTGGTTCTGAGACTTTTTTCATCTAAAAATGTATATACAAATTCACAAATATTCTATATTTTTAATACAACTTATAAAAAGGTGGGGGGGGGGGCTAAAGTTTCTTCCAATAACATAAACCCAAAAGAGTTCCTTAATGAAGGCAGCAGTCAAAGCATGGAAAGAGATGGTCTAATATGGCTTATATAAATAGATTCCAGTAGAATAATAATAAAAAGTGTAGAATGTAACTCCTTACACACAAGTAGGTTAAACAATTTTTTTTTTTCTTTATTTTGGTGGTGATGGGATGCAAAGTTACTGAAATTATGAAATTATCCAATAATCAAATGTTGGAATGCTATTAAACAATTGCTAAACTAGAAAGGGAAAAACTAAGCATTTTATAAAGCAATAACTTATTATTGTCAAATGAAGCTTACATGGAATTTGAAACTGTCAAACAATCCTCACCTGCCTATTTACCTTATAGAGAAAAAAGAAAGTGTCTTAAATTACTTAGTAATGAAATAAATATGAAAACAACATATCTGGCAGGTAGCCAACTTGGTTTCTGTTGAAGATACTGTCTTTTAATGATGGCTTTTGATAAAAGATAGGTGACCAGCTGTTAGCTCATAGATAGGCCAACACAAAAAATATTTTTTTTCTTTCGAGTATATGACGAAAAATAAAATGGTAAAGATGACTCAGTTTGATGTAACCTACAAATTATTTGTAAATAACAGGGGTTTAAATGAATAATCAAACTTTTGAGTGAAAATTTAAAAAAAAATATAGTGCAGCTGTTTCAACTTTATTATCATCTTCTGGAAATGCTCACTTTTTTTTTCTAACTCATTTCTATGTGTGTGATTAAAATAGCCAAATTTCAGATCAGAAGCACACTATTACTAAGCTGTACAAAAATATTAACATAATTCTTAATATATTTTAATTGAATTAAAAAAAAAAAAAAAAAAAAAAAAAAAAAAAAAGGTCACTGAATACTGACATTGCATTGAAATAACATCGATGAAAGTAACCAACCAGCCCTTACGCAAACTAAATCACAATATGAATTAAAAAAAAAAAAAATAAATCATGATAAATAGAATGTTAGATAAAATACATATGAACAACATTTATGTAAATAAAAATATAAAATGCTAAAATGTGGGCATAATAGATTTACAAAGAATATTTAAACATTGCATGATAATTTTTTGGGAGGGGGGCAAAAAAGATTAATTTTTCTAACTGTGCATGAAAATTTGTCTAGCCACTTGTGTTCAGTATGGTCCATCAAAATGGCCAAAAACCAAATGTAAGCTGTTCTGATTATTATATTGATCAAAAGAAAAGAGAAAACTACTTGGTTTGAGGGATGGAAGAAGGGGTGGGTTGGAGTGGAGGGTCAAAATTAAAGACACCAGCAGTAGCAGCTGCTGCCTACTGAAGGGATAATGTGAGCAAGAAAGTATCTTCTATTCAAACATATTGCTGTATAGCAATGTTCCCAACTATACTTGGACATCACAAATATCATTTATGAAAATGATACAATCAAGCATGTACTTGCTCTTGTTTGAGCGTCCGTCAAACAATCAAAGATTAAATCACCACTCAACAATGATAGATTAAGAATTTTGAAATGACCATGTCAAAAGAAATGTGAATTTTATACATGGCTTCAGAACAACAAAAAAAGAGAAACAATCTACAGTGATAAACCATGTTTATTGATGCCAAAACCTTGTACAAAAGTTGACCTAAGCAATCATAGCTAGCCATAGATTCCTTTTAATATCTAATTTATCATTTATGTTCTTCACCATTAAGATTCTTTAGTTCCAATTAGTTTGGTATTTTTTTTTAAAATGAAACTTGGAGACAAGATGAGTGGGGAACACAGTATTTCCTAATATTTATTCACGCATTCAACACTATGACATAAATACAAGTTATCACCATTATTTGGAATGTTTTAAGATGATTTTTATTACCAATATCCAACTTAAAAATTAAATATTTTGTCCTTTAAATCATATACAGTTACTGTGTTAGGAAAATTAGCCACTTTAAAAATGAAACAAAATACAATTCCCGATTAATTTTTGTTTTATTGCAATCTTAACAGTAATATCCCAAATTGTTATTGTTAGGCGAAACATTACCTTATTTGACTAATAATACTTCCATCTTAATTCTAGTTACTTATCACTCAGTTATCTTGTAATGAAAAACAACTGAAAGTAAAATGAAAAATATATAAAAGTTATTAGCTGAAAATGCAGCATATATATATATATATATATATATATATATATATATATATATATATATATAAAAAGTAATTAATCCATTTCCCAAAATCTGACCAAATTATCAATTACCAGATTTTTAAGGACATTTTGGCAAATCTTTTGTACTAATACTATCAGTGTATTTGTATAAACTGATATATCAATTACATAATTAGATTTGTTCTTCTGACACACATAAAGTTCTCACCATATGCAAAGATAACAGGGATGTAAAGCCTTACAGAGAGGCTAATGCAGATTTTTACAAATGATTATAAAATAACAATCCAAGTAAATGGGATAATAAAACAATTGAAATAAGAAGAATCACACAAGTCAAAAATAATGATTGAGAAGGCTTCATCTAAAAAATAGTAAAAAAAAAAAAAAAAAAAAAAGTCCATGCACTGGTTTTATATATGCAAGTACTAATATCAAAATAAGCAACAAAAAAAGCTTGTAACAATATTAAATAAACTTCTAAAGTTTTAATTGTCTTTGATAGAACAATCACAAAATTAAATACAGATCAAAGAAAAAAAAAAAAAATTATCATATGCCTTTCTATTCAGACTGGTTCCATGGAAGTTTCCTCTGAGCCTGGTAGTATTGAAAAGTCACATATTCTGTGTTTCAGGGGAAGAAACTGACAAGCTACATAATGGCGAATGAGACTGGCAAATATTAACTGATATCAAATGTCTCCTAATCATAGAAAGTGACAAGAGAACAACCTATCCCACAGATTAACTGAAGGGTTCAGTTCAAAATTCTAAGCAAAGTACTGAGTACAAGAAGAAGGCTGCAGAGTTGAACAGACAAAACATAGCATAACAAACAAGACAAGTACACACTAGCCGATAAAGAAAGACAATTACAAAAAGTAATTCAATTCAATACAAAGTATTCAATTACTTTTCATACTGAAAGTAGGGAAATTAATATATAGTTTAGGACCATCATCTAATGATT